CAAAGAAACAGAGGAAAATAATAAAAAGGATGACAAATCTAGACAGCATCTTAAAAAGCAGAGACATCACTTTGACAACAAAGGTCCACATAGTCAAAGCTATGGTTTTTCAGTAGTGATGTATGGAAGTGAGAGCTGGACCAGAAAGAAGGCTGACCGGCGAAGAATTGATGCTTTTGAATTGTGGTGCTGGAGGAGGCTCTTGAGAGTCCCCTGGACTGCAAGGAGAAGAAACCTATCCATTCTGAAGGAAATCAACCCTGAGTGCTCCCTGGAAGGACAGATCCTGAAGCTGAGGCTCCAATCCTTTGGCCATCTCATGAGAAGAGAAGACTCCCTGGAAAAGACCCTGATGTTGGGAAAGTGTGAAGGCAAGAGGAGAAGGGGATGACAGAGGATGAGATGGCTGGACAGTGTCTGTGAAGCTAGCAACATGAATTTGACCTGACTCCGGGAGGCAGTGGAAGACAGGAGGAGTAGTTTTCCATCGTCCCCAAGCATTAGCTGGGGTGAATGGAGCTTGTCATCCACGACAACATCCTATTTTCCCAGGTAGGGGAAGGATGAAGGCCGGATGGCCCGACGTGCTCTGGTCTGTGGGGTCATGAAGAGTCCGACACAACTTAACGACCAAACAATAACAAAGGGGAAGGATCGTGGCTAGATCTTGGCACTTCAGGCTCTGTGGGCCCCTGAAACACAAGAATTACATAAGAATTTAGACTTAACGACTAAACAACAACAACAAAAGAAAGCTTCTGAAAATGAATGATAGAGCCTTTAATGTTTGGCCTCAATTATTAAAACAAGCCCCCTTGTTCCCTGCTGGTTAATAAACTAGAGCCAGGCTTGATAAATGTGCCAATTAAATGCAGTCCTTCTTATGCAGATATTGCAATAGGAGCCAACGACATTTTTTAGAATGGCTCTCTTGGGGCAATGTTAAATTCTTGCTCGCGTTTCAGCCTCCAGAGTTTTCAAACCTCATGAGAGCTCTTCTCTCTGGTAACACAACAGGGAGTGTTGTGATGTTTGATCTGCATCCTGTTTATGCTTCCTCTCGCATCCTATCAGAGTTCCTGGAAACCCGGAGCCTTCCCTCACCCACGCAAGAATCTTCCTGCCACCAAGAACCCTCAGATAGCGAGACATTTCCTGCTCAAGCTGCTTCCTTCACCTGCTGGGCTCTCCTGCGATTCAGAGAATGGACGGAAGTTCATTTGACATCACTGGCCCTTCAGGTGGCTGGCACATTGACTCCGTCTCAACCCGCCACCCTGTCCTCCAATTTGGGGCGTTCTCAAGGATGGGGGGGCAAGCTCCCTGAAAACACTGTGACCCACTTCAAAGTTTACCACCTCTGCTAAAAACGCACACAAACAGTCTTCAGAAAGCCACTCCGTTCTCAGGTGTAATGCAAAAGGGGGTCTGTTCTTTTCCATTGTTTGTTGTTTTTCCTTTTCCCTCCTCAGCCCTTTTCCCTTTCGTATCGGACTTTTTAGATTGTAAGCAAAGGCCTGCCTTGTCTCTTTTATGCATATATCTGCTTTTGGTGAATCTCCTCAACCATAGAGAACAGGGTAAATGTTATAAGCCAGCCAGCCAAACCTCTTTTCAAGATTGGCTAGAGATAAATTGCATTAAAACAATTTTTATGGTTTTTCTGCAGTTAAACCACAGAAGCCTCTGGGCTGCAAGGTCAGAAGACCTGCAGTTGTAAGATCAAATCCACATGACAGACTGAGCCCCCGTCGCTTGTCCCAGCTCCTGCCAACCTAGTGATTCAAAAGCATGCAAAATGCAAAAATGCAAATAGATAAACAGGAACCAGCATGGTGGGAAGGCAATGGCGTTCCATGCCTAGTCGTGCTGGCCACGTGACCATGGAGGATTGTTTTTTGGACAAAAAACACTCGCTCTATGAGTTGGAAACGGAGATGAGCACCACCCTCTAGAGTCGGACATGACTGGACAAATTGTCAAGGGGAACCTTTGCCTTTACCTTAAATTGCATAACTTTAATGCTGACGACCAATAAAACTGAACCTGGTAAAGATTTTCTGTGCCCTCATTCACTCTTCAGTCCAAACTGAGGTGGCACCCCAAAATTGAGAAGAAGGTCAAAACCTGAAGGCTACGATGGAATTCAGAAAAATCCTGAAAGGCAAGAATGTATTGTTGGAGACCGAAGCCAAGATAATCCAGACTATGCTATTCCTGATGATTGTGTACCAAAGGGGGCAATGAAGAAAACTAACAGGGGAAAAAAAGCAATTCATTCAAAAAGGTGGTGTTGAAAGAGAGATTTCTGGATGCCACAGACCATCAGAAAGTGGTTCCTAGATCAAATCCACTCTCTCTAGAGGCCAAAAGGACCCAACAGGTGGTCCTACTTTAGGTACATCATGAGTAGACAAGACTGATTAGAAAGGCTAATAAATTTGAAGTGGGGGTGGAGAGAGAAGGCAAGGCGCAACAGGAAATGGATATACTCAACAAGGGAAGTTGTGGGCTTGAGTTTGCAAGACCAGAGCAGAACTGTTAAGGAAGGGATCTTTCCGAGGTCCTGAATTCACTAGGCTGTCATAAGCTGGTCCCATCCTGATGACCCCTGAGCCTGGGTGGGTAATAAGAGAAAGCCCAGCCGATGGGCTCTTGAAAGACTTGCCTTTTCCCTCCGAGTCTATGGGTTTCCTGCTTTAGAAAATTAAATCAACTCCAGATCCTGTCTTCCGCTACAGTGAACATCATATAGATTGACCCCCCAGGATGAACAGGGACCACATTTGTATCCCGGGCACCATCGTTTCTCATTATCTCCCAGGGAAACCGTCGGCCGGATGCTGCTTCGTCATGGACAGGCTTCCACTGCCAAGGACGCTCTGCAAGGGAGATCAAGCCTGTTATAACTAAGCGGCTTCGCTCGTTACTGCTCGAGCTGTGCGCTGTTTTTCATCGGGGCATGTACAAAGTGAGAATATAACAGACACACACTTGGAAATCTCAGAGTCTGGAAAATTCGCCGTTTTCGACTGCCAAAATTCCACCAACCCTTACGGCCGAGGTGTTTATTGTGTTCTTTTATTCATTGCACCTATAGGCCACCTCTCCTCCGAGGAGCTTAAGACAGTGGTCACGGCTCTTGTTTTGTGTACTTTATTCCCAAAACAGCCCTCCAAATTAGCTCAGGCTGAGAAGGGCTAGTTGGCTCAAGGCCACCCAGTGAGTGCCATGGTTCATTGGGATGTTAACACATTGTTGAAAGAAGAGGAAGAAGAAAGACATAATTAGAGGACAAAAGCCCATTAGGGCTCCAGCCACTCTCTTAGTTTTCTCTTTGAGCAATCAAGGTTTACATTATAGACAACCCATCACTAGAACAGGGCATTCCTTAAGGGCTGAGACAGTGTGATTACCACAACAGGAGTTTTTTTGGACTCCTGTACTTTGCAGATTAGTTCGCTTTGTTTTGAGACTGGTCTGCAGGCCATAAATGTCCAAATTAAAGGGGGAAATGTGAAAAAGAATGAGAGAGAAAGCATAGGAACAGCACATTGTCACCTCTTAAAAACCAGCAGGTTTCTTTCAATGCAACATCTCATGGATCATAATCGAATTCCGCAGACACACTGAATGTTCAAATGACAACCTCTGCATTTATACATATACCTTCATAGAGATGGGGATCACCACCAGCTGAAGATAATACAGACAAAAGACATGGTGAAAACATATTCTTAATGTTGGACTAGGACTACTGAAATGTTATTTACTTAAAACTGCAGGCTATAGCCATGCTTATTAAGTTGTCTTCCAGTCAGGGTCACAGAAATGTAAAGAGTTGTTTCAGGACACAGGGCAAAGTTTGTCAAGAGAGATAACCAACTATTCTGTATACACATGTTACACAGAAATTGTTTATACAGTGCACCAACAAGCTCTAGTCCTTATTTAAGCCTTTAGAATACACCAGAATTTATGTATGTAGCCTGCTTCTGATGTCTCCCCCTTTTGTCTCCCTTTATAGTTCCTTCCCTCCCAGCACCACCATAATACCCACTGTCTCTCAACACCAAATAGCTGGAGTCAATGCTAGGAGGCTGTTGCATTTTCCCTCAGTCCTCTGCCCTTTCTGCCTCTCCATATGCCAATCTCACAGGCCAAGTTTAACCACTAGGTAGCAAAGTCCTGGGGACCAAAACTGGTAGTTCATGACTCAGAACCAGTCACCTGCCTAGCTCTGAAACCAGGTAGAGAAAGAAGCAAGGGAGGAACAAAATTTTGCAATTTTAGGGGGTGGTGAATGTTCTGTTCCTTAAGTAACATTTTCTTCAGCTTCGCAGCGAAATGATGGGATGGAGGGAGGGGGGTCTGACAGAAGCCCCGGGGACTGCCTGTGTGCCTGTGGATGCCAAATACCCCTGTTGGCCCCTGGCTCTGCCTCTTGCCCCTAGCTCTAGCAGTTGTGCCTCGTCCCGACTCCCCCGTCAGGACCTGGGACGTCCAAAAAAGGGGGCGAGGGGAGCGAATCTGGCTGGATCCCGAGTCCGTCCGTCCGTCCGTGTCCCCCCCCAGCATCGGCGCCTCATCCTCCTTGGCCGTGTGCCAGGGACCAGCATCTTTGGCCCGGAGCAGGGAAACTCGCCCGGGGGGGGGAAGTAAACCACCGCCCCCGCACGCACCAACCTCCCTCCCTCGCCTGCCTCCTTCCTTCCCTTTCACGTGTCTTTCCCCCCCCGAGGGGGGGAGAGGCAGGATTCGCTTTCGGGGCCCAGAGAGGATGGGGAGGCCGCGGAAGAGGAGGGAGGGGCAGGGGAGTGGCCCCCACGTGGGG